GAAAATTAAAAAATAAAAAAAAAATGTATAAAATTTATATATATAATTTAGGTACGTCTATTAATTTGATCAATAAGAATGCAAATCTAACATATAAACTCTCCGACATCTCGGCTGACTGTTATGTTTGATCAAATTCTTAAATTTGATCGGTTGACCGCATATGAAGTTACATACAGTTATATTGATCTACATACAGTATTGCATAAATAAATTATATTTTTTGATGTAAACCGCATCAAAAAAGTAACCCTAACTGCATCAAAAAAGTAATTCTAAAGCACCTTGCTTAGCCTTATAAAAAGGATTGGCAAAAATTTTCGTGTACAGTGCGGTACGTACAGTGCGTACGCACAGTATGTACGCGAAGCAGGATACATCTTTGTATTCACAGGTATTATAATTTATTATTAATTTGATAATTATGTAAAAAATAATAAAAATTTTTTCAAATTCATATATAGTGGAGGATAAGGACAAAGATCCACCGGGATGCGTATAATTACAAAATCGGACATAGTAAAGATATCGTTCAATCTAAAGCACTGGAAAAAAAAAAAGTGAATATAAAGCAAAACTTTTAGAATTAAACAAGGACAGTTGGGTCTAAACTAGATTTATCTAACAAAAGTGAGCACCGATATAAAGAAACTCTATAACGTAAGGGTAATTTCCAGAGCCATATACCAGGATCCATCAATTCCGATTAAAAGTATTGTATCCAAGCTATCACAAAAGTAAGTAGATGCTATTTTTCTTATCGATTTCAATGTATTAAAAAAAAAGCTTACTAATGGCCACTCTACTAGTTAAACCAGAAAAAATAAGAATCGACACTATCTGCTTCAGGAGCCATAAAGAGTATTACACTTAAACGTACAGTAAGCGAAATTAAAGAAAAGCAAGATAAAGATGCAGATGCATCTGCTGATATGAACGCTGCGCCAATGTTTCTCGACATTAATCTAGAAAATTATCATATTCTTATTTATGTCAAAAGAGGTGTCGTAAACTTGATATGACTGTAGGTTCAGCAGAAGCCGCCGCTAATGCTGTTGTTCCAAATCAGAAAAAAAAATGACAAAAGACAAAAATGCGGGTATTCAAGATGACAATGAATCGCCATCTTCTGTTGAGAGAATAATAAAGATCGTAAGATAGATAACGTTGAAGCTGTCATAGAACTATTCACCCTAACTAAAAAGAAGAGGATAATGCTTTAATGCACAGAAGGCGAAATTGAAACGACGAGACAGATGAAAAGCAAGATGCCGATGCATCTGTTAATATGAACGCCACGCTATGGGTTTCTCGGAGTAAAAGTAGAAAATTATATATTCTATTAAAGTACAATCTTATTCAGGCCAAAGTCGTAGATTCACAAAAAGCCGCCGCTACCGTTGTTGAAGCGCTTGCGGAATTACCTTGATTTCTAATCAAAAAAAAAAAAAAGGCAGAAGACGCAATTCGATAGTATTGAATGTGCCAATGAATTGTCACTCTTCTGTTAAGAGAAGAATAAAGGTCTAAAATCGATAACATTGAAGTTGCTATTGGAGCCATCAACCCTAGTTAAAAAGGAAGGTAAAGGGTAAGATATCGAAATTATTGAGATGATACTCAAGATGTATTAAAGTCAGTAAGGGGATCTTATACTTTATATTTTAAAAATAGTATAATATATTCATGGCATACTTAATCTATATATTTTTCTTATATGGAAATATAGAAAATTTAATGAAGCGACATACTAAATGTTATTCTCACAAAATACCTCTTGACTATATTGAAAGTTTGACCGATGCAATAAATAGGTGTATATATGGGATACCCACTTAAACTCACTGGAAAGGAATTAAACGTAGTAAAGAAAAAAAGGTTAGATTATGTTGTCTAAATATTTTGAGATTTCATATGGTTTATTATTCAAAAGAAATTTACGCGGACTTCCTTAATGAAGTAAAAGTAAGTTATATGTATTTTTGTTTTATAATGATGAAATATATACAAGGATAATTAGGTCTAAACTGGATTTCTGCAATAAATATGAACAGTGATACTACAAATCTGTTCTTTAAATTTTTTTAAAAAATTTTTTCCACGACTATAGGCTAAGACTGCTAATAAAAAATGATTCATCGATGTCATTGAAGTCTTAATATAGTTTTTGAACAAGAAAACTTCGATGTCAACAATGCATCACAATATTAAAAAAAATTAAAAGAAACCGTAGAACGTAAGGGTGGATGTGGGTGGGCAAAACAATTGCGCTAGCAATATCCAGAGCCATGATCCAGTACATCACCAGGATCCACTAATTCCGATTAAAAAAAATTTATGTTGTATCCACACTATTAAGTAAGTATCTGCTATTTTTATCAATTTCAATGTACTTAAAAAAAGCTTACCAATGGCCACTCTGCTGAAAAAAGATTCGTCACTATCTGCTTTAAGAGCCATAAAAAGGATATCACTTAAACGTACAATAGGCGAAATTGAAGCCGATGAGACAGAAAAAAAGCAAGATCCTAATGCATCTGTTACAAACGTAAGGCCAAGGGTTTCTCGACTTAAACCTGCGAATTATCAGTGATTTCTAATTTAAAAAAAAAAAACAGAAGATACACATTCAATAGTATTTGTGACAATGAATCGTCATCTTCGATTGAGAAATAATAAAGGTCGCAAGATAGATAACGTTGAAGTTGTCATAGAATCATCACCATAGCTAAAAGAAGAGAACGTACTGTAACGAAATTGAAGCCAGATTCCGAGGCATCTGTTAATACGAACTCCACGCTGAAAGTTTCTCAATGTTAACCTAGAAACTTATCATATTCTATTAAAAAACAATCTTACTCGAGTCGAAAGATACCTGATATGTGTAGATTCAGGAGACGCTGCTACCGCTCTTGAGATACTTGCGAAATTATCGACTGAAGACGCAAATTCGATAGTATTGAAAGTGGCAATGAATTGTCATTTTCTGTTAAGAGAAAGAATAATGGAATTGTCATAGAACCATCCTAGCTAAAAAGAAGCAGAGGGCGTAAAACGGACGACATTATTAATTATGATATTCAAAATGTATTAAAATTAGTAAGGAATTCTTATATTTTATATTTTAAAACATGTTATATATAATTATTCTTTGCATACTTAATATATATATATATATTTCTTATAGATCTAGTAAAGAGACACCACTAAAGGCTATTCTCTCACATTACCTTGACTACATTGAAATTTGACCTATTAAACAAATGGTCCGTATATACAAAACTTTATTATTTGTAGATTTAATTTTTAATGTAAAATCATATACATGACAGTAAGTACATCTCATTCTCAGGGATTTGGTCTTTCTGATTTATGGTCCCTCTTATGGAAATTTAACGCCACAATTTGCAATAGTATTAACTATCAGATATATTGTAGAAATATTTATTATTATGTACATAATGGCACGAATATTTTATGTTGGAGCTGATTTATAATTTAATTTCATAATATTTATATGAATGTAATTTTACTAATGTTTTTTTTTTTTTTTTTTTTAACTACTATCTGATATTCATGATGAAAGGTCACTAGTGTAAACCTTCAATCAGTCACAAAAACTGGAAAATCAAATAATATATGTGTCAGAAACAAAGGTACTTTAATTTCAATATGAATATTTAAAATTATAGGCCTGGCATTTGGGAATACCAAATTCACACATCCTGTGCGTATGAATGTTGTATTAATTATTATATAATTTTTTTTCAGATATTAAGGATATCCAGAGCATAGTAGATTTTTTTGTCATTGTTTGTAATGGGAACATTTGTACTATTGTTCAAATCGTAGCAAGATGTTACTACTAGATTAATGAAAAGATATAATGATTAAATAAAGTAAATAATATATGTAACAGTTTATTTGTCAAACTGATTTTATCAAAACTAATAGCCTGTTAAATCTGATAAAAAATTATTTGTTTATTTTTGGAAAAGGTGAGTGTGTATTATTAGAAATTTTGAATTTTCCATATAAATATCATTAGAGTTAGGATGTAAAAATTTTTCAAATTTTTTTTTTTGAAACCGATTTTTTAAGATTTCAAATCCTATCATGCATCCTTATTGGTCGATCGCGCTGGCATTCCTGGCCGAATCTTAGTTTACACGAATTAGCCGGACAAAGCAAAAAGCAAAAGACACGAAAAATACAAGAAACCAAATTTTAAATAAAAAATGACGGGGAAGCGATTTTATCTATAATACTTGCATTTTCATAACCTGACCCTAATCCCTACAATATTGATATATAGCTATATATCCCCAAATTTGTTTTTTTTTTTTTTTTTAGCCAATAATCGGATTATTTACAGTTACACACGTTTGTATTTATAAAGAATTTTTTTTTTTTTTTTTTTATACTTCTGCTACGATGATGTATCCACTTAAACTCTCTGGTGAAGAGCTTAACTCTAAAGAAAAGAAATTGTATCGAACAGCAAAAGGATATTTCGAATATTATAAATCGGAAAATTGGAATGTCCATCAATTTTTAGAGTTTATAAAAAGAAAAGGCGGTGGTAAGGTTCCGTTAATAGTCCAAAAAGAAATTTATACCATGTGGCTCGATAATTATTTACGAGAAAACGATATCACAACTAGCAAATATTTGACTCTTCTTAAAGAGGCAAAGGCAAGTTATCCTAATGATATATATATATATTGTTACTTTAGTTGAATATTTCTACTTGCGTTAGTATATGTCAATCGTAAGGGCTTATTTCTTTCTAATTTATAAAAGTAATCCCTAGCATTGGAAATTTAATGTCTACACTAGAGTATAAATTCTATCAGCCGTATAGATATTAGAATATACATAACGGCACAAAATACTTTAAATTGGATCTAATTTATAATTTATAATTTATTACCATAATACTTATATGAATGTAATATTACTGATATATTCTTTTTTTTTTTTTTTTTGTTTATTACTATCCGATATTCGTGATGAAAGGCCATTAGTGTAAAATCTTCAGACAGTCGCAAGAAGGCATCAAAGTCGCTTATAAAAACCGGAAAATCAAATGATATATACGTAAGATCAAAAGGTACTTTAATATTTTAATTCACTAATGTAAATATTTAAAATTATAGGTCTGATATTTAGGAATACCAATTTCATACCTTATGTACGTACGAATGTTGTATTAATTATTATATAATTTTCTTTCACAGATATTGAGAATGAGAATAACGATTTAGTTGAAGAGAAAGATAAAGAAAACCAGAACTCTGAGTGCAAATATTATACCTGATATGAGAATAATGATCAACGTCTAACACTTTTAGAAGTTTTCAAATTGGAGAATATAGTTAATACAATGTAAATATGCACATTGTGTTGAAAGGTTAATTCATCTTGAGCTCTCTACAATATCCTGGTTGTAAAGAAGTCTAATAAAACCTTATCAAATCTTGTGTGTCCCAAAATAACGCGCACCCATAGTCAAAGATACTTATTTACAGTAAAATTTAAAAAGTTCTGCACAAAATTTATATTTGTTTCAGAATAACGCCTATGGCTACTCTTGCGCGTATACTCGGATGGACGTTATTTCGCTACAAATAAGAGCAATTATAATACATTCGACAGTCTTATATTTTCACCGACCTGTTTTAACCAAACTGCAAATCTTTAGGATCGCCTAAACCCAAATTCCAAGTAGAAAAATCCCAAATCCCAAACCGAGCAAACCCTATTGGGCTTTCATATTCCCAAATTCCGGCAAAATCCCAAACTCAGATCAAATCCAAATTTCAAATAATAACATTTGCGCATAAAAGTGGGTACCCGTATAAATCGACATACTGCAAAATTATTAACCTTAGGCGGAAATTGTCTCACGTGATTTTTTACAGGAATTCGGGGTAAGAGTCATAGGCGGACATTCGTATGATTGGCTGATGTAAATCAATTGCCCGGGTAACTTATTTATACACTTTAAAGTAC